TTAAAATATTTTCTGTATCAGTAATAGTTTGGATTTTCTTAGATAATATGAATTGAATTTCTTTTATAAATAAGTCATACTCTTTTATTTTTATTTATTTATTTATTTATTTAGTTTTTATACTTTATTTTTTATTAATTATAGTCTTTCTTAATTAATAACTTGCTATTTAATTAATTCAAAACTTGAATTATATTGATTACTAGTAACTTCACTTAGTTAATTTTTATAATTTCTTTGATTTATTTATTTATTTATTTTTCTTTTTCTTAAGACAATATCTATAGATATTGATATAAATCTTAGAAATCTTTGTTATTATTGAAAGTATAGTCTAATTCCCTCTCTTTATTCTTTAATTATTTCAATTTCTCCTAATTCTATATTATTAAGATGAATTTAAGTGAAATCTCACTTATTAATTCTTTATAATACTATTATTTTACTTTTAAAGACTTACTTTATAAAGATAATTTCAAGTTTATATCAAAAAAACTTATAAAAGTTAAAATAGATAAGAGAATCTTAATTATATAATAGAGTATTATTTAATAGATAGAGTTTTTGATATAATTAAAATTAAAAAAGAAGATTTTATGAAGAAATTTATTTAGATATTTATATAGATAGAATTAACTTTATTATATAAATACAAAACAAATAAAATTAATAATAGATAAAATATAAATAGAATATTTAAAATTATTACTAATATATCTAAATGATATTTTATAAAATATTTATTAGATAACAAGAGAAAGTTATTATTTAAGCTATTAAATTTAGTAACTATTATATATAAAGATAAGAATTTATAAGCTAAGATAAAAAAATTCTCAAAAAAATTGTATAAATATTGAAAAAAGCACAAAAGTTAGTAAAAATTTTGAAAGAATTAAGAAAAATCAAAAAAATAAAATTAATAAGTAATCTTATTGAAAAGTTAGATAAATTAATCTTAGTATAGAAACTTAATAAGTTTCAGAAAAAGTCTTGATCTTTGTATTTTATTTTTATATATATTAATAAATTTTTTGTCAAGAAGTAATCAGCAAGTTCTTTATTAGTGATAAAGATATTATGTGATTTTTATTTAAAATTAGAGATATAGATTAATCAAAAATAATTTTAAGATATATATAGTATTCTTTTAAATATTTTTAATAATTTATATAAAGTAATATTAAATATATAATTTAAAAATGATAAATTAAAAACTCAAGACTTTGTCTTTTTATTGAGAGAATTAAATGTCAAGCTTGTAGTTGAAATTACTAAGTTTAAAAAGAAGAATGCCAAGATTTCTGAACTTAGAAGAGAAAAAGATTTACTTATAGCTAGAAGTGTAAAATTAGAATAATTTATAAAAGAAAATATAGAGAATATAAAGTTAAGAGATACTAATCTTGATAAAGAAAATACTAAATAAGATACTGAAATTATAAAACTTAGAATTAAAATAGCAAAATTAAATATATTATTGAGAAAAACAAACTTAAAATATTCTATTTTGAAGAAAAATATAATAAAACTATTACTAATAAATAGAATATATTATTTATAAAAGAAATTCAATTCATATTATCTAAGAAAATCCAAACTATTACTGATACAGAAAATATTTTAACTAAGAATAACTTTGAAGATTTAGTAGTTCTGGTAAGATAAACTTGTAGATTAATAATATTCTTATATTTAATATAATTAATGAAGCTTCAAATTCTAATAAACTCAATAATGTTTCAGTATCTGATATATCTGATAACATTTCAAAATCTGATATAAATTTGAGATTTTCACTCTAATATTTTATATTATCTATTTTCATAGGAGGTAAATTATTAGAAGATGAAAAGATTGATATATTTCCAGATTTGAAATATAAGAAAAAGATTAATAAAAATATAATTCAAAATATCAAGAAGAAGTTATGGGATCAAGAGATCTCTTTAGAAAAACTAGACTCTTTAAGAGAATTAGAGAAGTTGTTATCATCTTTATTATTATGTAACATAAAAATTATGAATACTATTCATAATCAAGAAAAGACTTTATCAAAAGAATCTATATAAAATATATCTCAAAAATCTATCAGAAATTCAGCTGAAACTAGTATATATATGCCAAGTAAAGTTATATAAGATTTGTTACAAAGATTTCAGTAAATTCTATAGAAGAAGAAAATATTAAAATTATTAATAGTAAGTCTTTAGATTCTGTATCTGCTGAGCTTGCTCATTTTTTATATTAGGCTAGTAAAGTGAGAAAAAAATCTATCAAAGCTAAGCAGAAATAAATTTTATCTTGAAATTACTATTCTGAAAAATACAAAGATAGATTTATAAAGTTTATATTCAAAAATAAAAATCTAAAGAATAAGACTGCAAGAATCCAGATTTATAATAAAATGAAGCCATATTTCATAGGTATTTTTGATAAGTATTTATGTAAAATAACAAGTAAAGCAAGAAAAATTCTTAAGTTATTTGGATAGAAATATGATATTATGATCCAGGAAAAAGTTAATGAAATAGGATGACATATGATTAAACAAGTTACTTACAGTGCTGAAACTATTTCAAAACTTACTAATATTGAAATCCAGTATATTATAGATCAAGTAATGAAGGCACAAGTCGGTATGACAGTATCAAAAATTGTGAATACTATTCATGATCAGAAGTCAAAATCAACAGAAAACAAGATAAGTGTATTAGATATTGAAGCCTCACCTAATAATATGACTCAAATCTCTAGCCACGAAGTGACTGCCTCCAGCAATTCCTCTGATGTTGATAAAAAAGTGGAGAAGTCTCATGCAGTGAGGATGCTATTGCATCTAAATCTTTACAGGAGGTGAGCAATGATCGAGATTCCGATTATGAATATGATTTTGAAGATCTCTTCGATAACATTGAAGATGACTTACAGAGTGAGGATGCTAATGTATCTAAAGATGATGATAGGTTCTATAGATTTTCTGATGATGATGATGAAGGATATTATTATGATTTAAATACTGGTGAAACTTATACAAAATCAGATCGTCGTTATTCAATCAGCGTATATTAATAGGATAAAACCTCATTTATGGAATAGCTGGGAAGCTAGCACATCCGTGTTAAAGATATCCGCATCCGAGATTTTTATATTAGCCTTGCTATCTCTGCTATTGATTTTCAGCACATGTCTTCATGTAACCTAATTTTTATCACATAGACTAGAAATACATTTTAATATTAAATATTTTTTTTGTTGATGATGAAATTCACTAAGAATAAACATTTCGGACATAATGCTCATAAAAATACCAACCTTATTTTTAAACTTCGTAGGTTGGGTCAATGCGATTACCAGTAAAGCGATCCATGATTTATCAGCATTATATAGTCTCTCGCTAATTAACGTTCATTCTTAGTTTGTGGAATGATTTGCATGTTTATCTTCGATTACACAATGCTTTTAATAAACAAAAAAATTTAATACCTTTATTATATGATTACGCTCACTATCTAATTAAAATATCGTTCTGGCATCTTCTTCACTTTACGTGGAAAAAAATGATGATCGAAACGTAACCCTATAAAAGATGCTGTCTTCCTTCTGCAAAACCAACGTGGCATTTAACAAAGGTCTTACAAAAAACAAACTCATCAAGCTTGGTTTCACTTATCTTAAATCTGAATATCCGCATGTCCCCGCGATTAATTTTCTAATCGGAATTTCTTTGCATAAATGCGCCCATTCATCGTTGCGAAGATGGCCCCCAAAAATATCCATCTGTGAATAGGGCGTGGTTTTTCTTGTGGGACGTAAAGCAAAAGAATGCTGATGAAACAAACTCTCGTGAAACACTACTATCACTGAACAAATCGGCAAGATCAAATCCGAAATAAATTTCCGTGGTGCTAACTATGCAACGGAGGCACAGAATATGATAAATGGGAAATATAACGAAATCGAGCGAGTTCTAGAAACTTATCATAATAATTTTACCCGAATTCGAAACCATCGCGTCGCTTCAGAGTGAAATTAATCAATGCTACCCAAAGCATAAAACCGATCAAGAAAGGGAGACCTTACATAATCCCACTCCGTCCATTCTTCAGGCAAAGATTGAAAGAGAAATGAAGCTCCGCTCTCGTGGGTAGAAAATACACAAACTTGCTAATCATTATTTTCGATTACAGGATCTGGACGAATTCAATATACAGATATTACTTTAACAATTTGCTCCGGCTTTAAAGAAATTTTCGATAGGGTCATGGCCGAAAGAAATTATACTTTCGATGAAATGTGTTTTTCCGTATTCATGAATATTAGAAAATCTGTAGTAAAAATTTTTATAATAGAAGTAGTAATTGTAAAGCTAGCACAGTTAATGAAATAAATAGATGGATAGATGGAGTGGAGTAGGGAAAGGAACTCTCATTTTATGGGTTAGGGCTCGAGATGCTTCCTCCCTTTAAACGTCCGCTACTCCATTCATTTATTATATTTGTCTTTTAGTTTATCGTAACCAACAATAAAGATTTTCGCCCACATCATTTAACGTATAAAGAACAAATTTACTTTGCATCTCAATTTCTAGTCAATAACAAGATCCAGTAACCATAAAGACGGATCCCTAGGTAGGATCATCTAAAAATTCCGATATATCATACCCAAGTAAATTTTCTTCTTCACCTAGCAATTGAA